AGCATGGTTGCTTTTTTCGGTTTTCCATTTCTACATTTTTAATATTTGAAATACAGTATTTGATAAATAAGAAGACAAGCAACAAGCTTAATCAAGTCTGCTTCTTTATCATTTCTATCAAAATGCAAAATTTTTTTACAAAATTTCCAAATTAAAATTTTTTTAATGTTTGCAAAAATTTACTATCGTATAAAAATTTTTCTGCTTCCTTTCCATCCGTTGTCATCTCCGAACAGTCCAAATTATTAAAGCAGTTGTTCATTCTCAAAATATAAATCCTTTCAAAAAATTCATTAGAAATAAGATTTAAAAGTATTCGCTTGACAAAATTTCATCTTTTATACATTTTTGAGTGAATAACAATTTTACAAACATATTTAAAATAACAAGTTTGCTTAAATGTTACTACAATTTTACTACAGTTAATTTGAACTTAGGATAAAACTTTGCCATACATTTATTTTATAAAAAGCTATTAATAATCCAATCTATTCAACTCCATTGCCATAATCACAATGAATTACAGATCGAAATTCAGAACCATTGTGAAATTTTGACAGATTCTATAACTGATAACAATGTCTGAAAAGGACCGATAGTTAAAGATAGCTGTTCAAAGGGAAACAATAATTTGTTCATAAATTATTTTTAAATTTATATAAATATGAAAGTGTTATACTGATTTATGCCATGTTTGTTATATTTGCTTGCAAACCGTATGGAGTTTTTTGTTTTGCCGCTCTTTTTAAAATGAAAACTAACTTAAAAAATATTATTCAAACTCACAGTTTTTTGTTAATATAATTTTTAAATGTTTTTAAGAAAATGATTTTTTCACTTAAGTTCATACGTTCAATTACATTTTTTGATCGATTTACATTTTAGAAATTGAAATATTTTAATGATTTGGGGCAGTTTAAAAGTATGCCATAATAACCAGAAAATGAATGAACGACTGACTGATTGATGACGAATAAAAATGTGAGATCGATAATTACGCATAAGTATTATGGCGCATTTGGATAACGACGTAACCCTTTGACAATCTTGAAAAAGTTATTATCTTAACACAAATATTAAATTTTGTTGTTGAACAATCAAAATTGTCAGACATCGATACACTGCTTGTTATCGTTCGCCGCTCTCCGTCAAAATTAGAAGGTATTAAGATCTGTCGGATATTTGCGCTTCAATAAGCAGATAGAATGGATGATCGTATTACCTTTCCTGTTTTGTATGAAAGAAATATATGTCCAAATAATTTCATTTCCAGTTATCAAAACTTTAAATTTTGATATATTTTAATTATCTATCTGCAGGATTGGTAGAACATCAATGGAAAGTTATATTCGAGAAGTTGGGGCGCTTTTGGGTGTCTCTATTGCACGACATCCATCCCGTTTTGCAGTACTTCCTCTCTGCTCCTTCTGTCTTTTTTTTCATCTCTTTTCTTGATTCATTCGGTCAGCTTTCTCGGGAACCAAGCGCAATTGGTTCAAGCAAACTTTTTGTACCTCGAAATTCAGCAAGTGAACGCAATAAACATAAGTATGCTTTTAAATTTTGAAACTCTGAGAGTGAAAATTTAGAATTTCGGAATTCTTTAAAAATTTAAAGCGTAGATTTTGGTTATATATTAATGAAATCGATACTCCTCCAACAACTTTCCTGATATTTTAGTTAAAATTGAAAAATTTTTTTTTCTTCAGAATTGAAAAAATATTTCCGCATGGATTATTCTATTATGATCGTACATTTTTATCGCCAAATTTACGCATCCTCAACTTTGAAGTATTGTTTGGCTCCATTTATGAGCTACAATTTGTTGAATTTTATCGAAATCTTCGAAATAAACTGGAACTGTTAAGTGTGAGGAAATTTTATTTCATTTATAACAAAAAATTTGTTAGCCATGCAATTAACCATTTAATTTCTAATGATGAAAATTGAAGGTTACGCATAACGATGATACGATAAGTTATTTCAACCTTTGCTCAAAAGGATCAGAAGATGGCCGACATTGTTTTCCTGATTTATTCCTTTTATCCCACACTTATTGGCACTATCACAGCCTATCCAATATCCTACTTGGCTACTTTCTATATACAAGTATGTTTGTGATCGCAATCTTCCTCAACCTAATATCTTTTAATATAAATCAATTAATAGAAATATCTTTGAAATATGTTCTGAACATATTCAAAAGATATTTCTATTAATTGAAGTTTCAAAAAAAACTTTTGAATGAATTTTCAGCACTTCTCAGACTATTTTTACGGGCATTACATATGGAGGTGTGCATACCGGAAAACATTCGAGTGCCATTATTTCGGCTCGATGTGTTCGTATGATTTTCAATTTCCACCACTTATCATATTGCAAAATTTGATGATATGTGGGACAGTTACGTGGAGCATAACCTGAAGTATCCTTCAAATATCAAAATAACAAAATGGAGTGGTAGCCAATATGAGCGTGATATGAAATTGATAATGGAACGAACTCGAAGGTATTTTAAATGAAATTTGCGCATCTCTTTCAAGTTACCCATTTATTGATAATGAATGAGAAGTAACTTTTAGATTGCTTCCATTATTGGCATTCTGTTTGGTTTCTTTTTGCTGTTTGAGTTCATTCAAATATGGCTGTAACTTTCGTTTAACATTCATTTCATTTTATGACGTCTTATCGGCTGGTCAGTCAGTTTTACACATTAATTTAATAAAATGGTCATTTCAGGTCATTGTTATCAAGTTTATATATCTTTGGAAATTTTACAAATTAAAAGATTATAAGTGTTTTTAAGCATAGAAATGAGTAAAATGAATTAAATGCACGATGAGTACTCCTGATAAGTATTCTTGTATCTTAAGTATTCTTAAGAAATAAGTAAACTGCATGATAAGTATTCTTGCATAAGATCACATCAGCTGTTTCGGTTACCTGCTGATGAAAGGCAAAATATTTAGTTTGCATGCTAAACTCTTTATATAATATATTTTTCAGTAAACATCGGTATCACATTGAAGAATAATTTGTGTCAAAGGTCTTTTTCAGTTAAATTTTTCTATATACGTAAAAAAGTCTTAACAATGAGACTTTTTTCGAACAAAAAAAGAAATTGATTTAATAAGAAATTGTTTTAAAAAAGTCATTCTATTACGTTTTTTATATAAACATTGATTAGCATTATATTTTATGATTGTTTCTTGCAGTATTTCATGCTTTAAAGAAATGAAATCAAATTTCAGCATGTGAATTGATAACAGCTTTTAGCTTTCTTCATATCACTGGCATACATTTGGTGCAAGTTGCACTTGTCATACCATTTCTCGTCCTTTGTAAGCATTTTTTTCATGTAAATCTTTTCCAACTATTTTAAAATGTACTCTTTTCTAAATTCTATTAAGAAAGCTTAATAAAAAATTTCAAAATGCTGAATTATGATAAGAAATTTATTCGAATTTCAAACAACACTTTGTTTTATATAATAATTTATTGTAGCAGTTGGCATTGATGACATGTTTATTATGCTTTCTATTCGGGAACAAACAATTTCTGCATCATCAACTGCTAACACTGATGTCTGTGATTTAATAAGAATAATTTTCCGGTTCATTTATGCCTTCCTTTTTATTTTTTTTTTCTTTCAATTATGTCTTAAAATAGATTAGCCGTGATTTATTCAGTTCATTAAATTTGGTAATAAATAAATTCTAAAATATGTTATTAAAATTGAGAACTCGTGCAATTTGTGCGTAATAAATGATTTTGTCCACTTTTGAATACATGAAGTTAATTGGGAAAGTTTTTCAGAGAAAGTATGGTCTCGATACTGCTAACAACGATAGGAAATATATTTGTCTTTACCTTCGGCTCACTTTCATCTTTTCCAATCATTCGAATATTTTGCATATATAGCGCCGTTTCACTTTTCATCGTTTTTTTATTTCAACTTACATTATTTGGCTTTCTGTTAGCTACGAAAGCTCCAAATTCTCTTGGCAGTAATTTGCTGAATTTTTCAGTGAAACAAAACCATTCGAAATCGAATGGAACTATTCAATCATTCAGTATGTTCTTAATTTGGAATATGTATATTGCAATAAATTTTTCTGAACGAATAGCAAATCAATTTTTAAAATATTGTTTTTTTCCAATTAATTTATTAAAATGAAAATTATTCTTGGACTAACTTATAATGCTTCCTTTCTAGTACAATCTGCACATTGTCAACCATCGTTGCCATTACACTATGCGGCAATTTTCAAGAATAAATACTTCCTCGCATTTGTCTGCATGACTTATGCTATCTAATTAGTTCGGGCACTTTTCTGAACAGGAAGATCGATATTAGCTTGCAATTTTCTTCGCTTTTACCGATTGATACAGGGTAAAAATTTCCTTTTTTTGCAATAAACTGTACAACAAACAATATCGACATCATTCGAGACATTTTTTTTTGACTGGAACTTTGGAACTTATTGGAACTTATTATATTATTTTCGAGACATCATATCGTAAATTGTATTGTATACTGTTAATAAGTACAGTAATGAAAGAGATAATAATTTGATCAATGATGGAAGGCATAATAATAAATTAAAAAGTTTCAGCACGTACATGTATTTGAGAATAAAAAAATGAGGAGTACTTTACCAAATACAGTACACCACTGGAAATAGTGTTACCTGATGAATTGAATTATTTTGATCGCCACTTGCAATCAAGTCTACTTCACGCTATTGCAATTCTCGAAAATACAACTTATACGATGAAAGCAACTTTTTGGCTTCCAGTATTTTTGGAGTTTTTAAAATGGTTTTTTCGCGTTTATTATTCCATATTTTCAGCTTTTGAAATCATTTTATTTTCTTCCGTTTAGATGATCCTAATGGAAAATGTAAAATTATAAATAAATTGCAAATAAATCATTGAATTTCAGGAATAGGAATAATGTAGAACGATTTGTCTCCAATTCAATTTCGCTCCACTAAAAGATGACGCATTTTCTGCAACATCCGGCATACAGGTTTGTTTAAATGATAGCGAGAATCTTTTACCTCATATTAATCATCATTGATTATTTATTGTTTTTGAAATCGAAATTACAAATTGTAATTTTATTAAAAGCTTTTGTAATAAAATTTGAAGTTCGAATTTAAATGATTCTTTTGACCTGCTAACATGACATATTGTGATGTCCATATGATCAACTTTTCAGACATTTTGCTCAGGATATTGTTTTCGAGAAGGAAAGTGATAATGGTGTATTTATCAGATATAGCAGACTTCACATCCCCCTCTTCAATGTCACTCGTTCCACCAGGTAAATAATCTCAATTATCTCACAAAAGCTGACTATTCAATCATATTTTGTAAAAAAGAATTCAATAAATTTAGTGGAATGAAAAATGAGGCATTTTAGGAAAAGCGCAATCCATTTGATGAAAAAGAAAGTGAAAATAGCCGAGAAGCGTTACTCAATACGATTTCTCACTTATCATGTGATACACGATTTGGTTGAACAGGATGACTTAATACCATGTTTACTCTTCAATAATGCTCTTCTAGCAGGTTCTCAGTTCCGCTTATTTCTTTTTTTTTTAATTTAAATATTTTATAGAAATTTAATATTTGTATTCGTGCTAAAATGGTTGAAGACAAAGTTATTCATAATGTACTCATGTCAGTATATGACTATATGAATGGCGTGAATTGAACAAGTATTTGAGTTTAAAGCATCGATTAGATAATAGCGGTTAATGAGAGGATAAAAATAGTCGTCGGAATTGTCTAGAATTATTACCTCAGTCCATTGATCATTTCAAGTTAACTACCAGCAACTAATGAATAATACATAGAATACTTACAGGGGTGACTTCAATAAGCACAATTTTACTGTTAACTCCATCGATGATGAACTGTATTCTCATCATCTGGGCTACATTTAGGATCAATTTCGGTGTATTTGCATTATTGAATGTTTGTGGAACTCATTTGGACATTATATCAACCATTGTTATACTTCTAAGCATTGGCTACTCGGTCGATTATTCCTCCCATATACTGGCACATTTCCATCATTTCAAACGTCATTCAAAAGACCCTGTTGGTAAGAATCGTTTAAATTTCAATCTCATCACTTTATTATCTCTAATTCCAATTAATAAATCAGTAAATCAATCACATTGCTCATTTTTCAGAGGATACATTAAATATCATTTGCTGGCCAATTGTTCAAGCATCGCTTTCGACGACAATTGGTATGATATGCCTATCGCCTGTTAAAGTTCGTTCATTTTTGCATTTTTCGGATAGCAAAAAATCAATCTTTTTCGTTTTAAAGATGAAATATGCGGAAGATGAGTAAAGTGGTAAGGAAAAGTGGAAAACAGTGTAAAATGAAGCAAGAATTTTAATTTTAACAATAACGTATTTCAGGGATATATCGTCAAAACGTTCACTCATGCGTACTGTTCGTTTGCTGCATAGGCTTGTATCATAGCATTGTGGTACTGCCTACTTTCCTCTCCATTTATAGTTATAGGTACTAAAATTTTATTTTATTTCAATTAAGCATATCTCTTTTCTGCTAAATTTATTTTTATTGAATGCAATCAGTTTGTACAAGTTTTTATTTTCAGGCCGAAATTGTTCGTTTTCCGGCGACGTCAATATGTTGTTGAAAGTAAATGCTAATTCATCTCATAATAAACAATATGAAGGCAGCTCTATCAAATGGAATAGTTTTAGAAAAAACAATAAAATGACAAAGAAATCTTGACAAATTTGGAAAATATGACAACAAAACATGGATAACTGACAGGAGAAAAAGAGAAAACCTCTTTTAAAAGTTAAATTGCAAATAGATCTTTAGTGTAAAAAATGAGTTAAAGCCAAAAAAAATATGCAGCATACAACAGTTACAAACATAAATGATGAGCAAAAAAAAGAAAATCATGAGAATAAACAAATAAAAACTTGAAAGCCTAAATGTTCCTAGAAAAGTTGCAAAGAAAGAAATTGTAGTCCTAATGATTTTAGCAGTTGTGATTAATTGTGAAATTGCATGCAAAATGCTTTCTTATTGTTCCAAAAGCTAAGATTATGTCGAAATAACTTAAAAAGATACTATAATATCATCTAGACAGAAATTTCCTTCAAACAATGAAAATGAAATAAAAAGTACGCGCAATGTAATGAATGATGACAAGAGAAATTCCTTTTTCTTCTCTTAATTTCATACCCTTCGTTTAAATTTGACAAAAAATCTTTATTAAATTTAGCTAATTCTCTAGAAAGACTTACTTATTCAGTGCATAAATAAATGAAAAAAAAGTAAGAAAGAAACCGGTAAAGAAATTAGATCAAATTCATGCAGCTACCCTTTGAAATGTCCATAAATAAGTGTTTGTAAGAATAGGCACTGATTTACCTGGACGAAATTTAAGCTCATAACCACTTATGAAACCTTCTGAACTCAACTGTAACAATTCCGATTCGGTCCACGAATGCCGAGTAATTGCACCGTAACGTGCACGTTCTACTTCATCTTCCCAAATTATTTTACTAATTTCGAGAGTTTGTTGACGAATTAACTCAGATTTAATAGTTTCCTAAACTAATAAATATTTATGAATCAAAATTCTAGCCAGCTTTACTGGTATTTCGAAAGTTCAAAATTGAAAATTTAGATGGTATTTGAAAAGATTGAGTCAATTTTTTCCTTAATTTGCTTTCAAGATGATTTATTTTAAATGAGTTATGGAAGTTTTTTAACTGCGCTAATGATATGGAAATTTTCAAACATACCATATTGTTGTTATAATGAAATATAAGTTGAGTATTTCCAGCTTGGAGTGTTAACTGTTGATCGGAATTTGAAATATTGAAGAGTTCTGCCAATTCTTTTATTGGGATTTTATTGGAAGTTATATTTGCGGCAAAATATATCTAAAGTTAACAGAATTTTAATGACTTAAAACCATAAATTGCTATGTTGGTTTATTATTTAAAACTGGAAAAAAGAATTAAAAATAATATTTTAAACATCACCTTCACGAGGTCTCCCGATAAATGCATATTCGGAATATTCAGGAAGGAACTGTCATTTAGCAATGTCCTCAGTGTATTTAACTTCTCGTCATTCTCCAAAGAATGCCCAATCACTTCAAACTGAAATTTCAAATTTTATATTAAATATTACACAAAATTATAGGAAAAACAAAAAGAGAATTTTCTGATATGTTGCAGGATGAACCTCAACGTATTGATACCCGAAACGACGCAGCATGGTTTCAGGTATTGCCAATGGGTTTAGTAAGGAATAAATTTTCAATAAAAAAGAATTTGTAAAAATCTTTAAATCACAACCAGAGCAGCTTCTCTCATCTGTTTTACGATTCTATTCAAGAAACGGTTTTCAAGAAAAATTAGAATAAAAATACATACATATAATAAATTATTAAAAAAATGTTGAAGTTCAAAATATTTATAGAATACAAGTATACAAATTCTAATTCTTTCATGATAGCAAATCTTATCATAATATAAATGTGCCTTATCATCAGATAATTATGCCGTAGTTTTAAAGGCTTATCGTGGTATAAAATGCTTTATTGTGGTATAAGTATGCCTTATCATGATATAAGTACTCTTTCATAATTCTGTAATAATGCCGCATTAGAAAGATACAATAGTTTTGAAGAACCGATAATACTGATACTCAGACAAGACAAATGCTCCCGAGATTTCAAAGAGAGTCAAAAAGAGATAAGTATGCCTTATCATGATACAAGTACTCATGATAATACCAATGGTTGACATGAGCCAGATGACTTAAATTACCG